AGTTCGTTTTCATCTTGATTTAGAATCTTCCTTGACACCGTTGCAAAGCCAAGCACGTCGCAGCTTTGTGCAGCTCTTGGGGAAACAGAAGTGGGTCTTATCTGTTTTTACCTTAACCGCGAACGGTGCTGCTGCTCCTTCATAATTACTGTGGCAGCAGAGACCTCAGTCAATATTCAGGCTCCATCCCAGCCAGCTTATAGTCCAGGTCTGTGAGAGATGAAATGGGTGAGAAGGAGGGGGGCAAGATAAACAGCTAAAGGGTAATGATTTTTCATCATGTGCAGTAGGAGTAAAGCTAACTGTGACCCGAGCAGCCTAATTTTCGTTACTCAGCACTTTGCCAGGGTTGTCTTAAGAGACACAGCATCCCTGCCTGCCTGATCTGATCTAACTGCCCAAGAGCAAGTGGACAAAGCCCTTGTGCTGCTCCTTTCGACTCTGCCTGGCCCCTTCGTTAGGGAGAAAGCAGCAAAGGCCAGTGGAAACAACAGCGAGCCAGGAAGCCATTGCTCTTTGCTGGTATCTGTCTTTGCCCTCACATCTCTGCTGTTTGAGGATGTGGCTTTCCTTGTTACGCCCAAGGAATCATTTTTCAGATCCAGTTTGCCTGCACCTATAATCCTCCCTTAATAGACTGTTACTTCAGTGATTTTTCAGACCATCCGTGTCATAAAGGAGAGATTTGGAGGTTTTAAGTTAATAACCTGCCGAGAACTTTGGGGAGCGAATAGTGCCCTGAGATACTGTGCGTCTAAGTCCCCCAGTCAGCTCTGATCTAGAGCCAATAAATGGATGAGTGAAGGTCTAATCCAACCATTTCGGCCAGCTGAAGGACGGTATCCAGTGTACGTAGAAACTCCCCCGCTCTTGAGAAAAGGGTGGCATTCGATAGCACTGAGTGCTTCTGGAAAGGTCGGTCTGTGGTTAGCTGCTGCAATAATGCTTTGCCCTCCCACCGAATCTTTCATCTGGGGATTGAAGAAAGACGTGTAGACATTAATTAATGTGGCCTTGCTGCCTGCCTGTGAGAGAGGCGAGACTTGCACCTATTTTATAGGTGGGGAGCCTGAGCAGCAGAGTGACAAGGTGCCCGAGGCTGCACTGTGAGTCGGTGGCAAAACCACAAGCCCGACCCTGGAGTCTTCCTTGGTCTTGTGCTATAAGACTTCATTTCGTCTTGTAGGGAGCAATAACGGAGCCGCTTCCTTCCGCAGGCCAGACTCCCAGCCCGAGATCCTGGCTCATCCCAAAGCCCCAGGTCGTTTCCCAAAGGGCAGGTAGCAGAGAAGGAAATAGCGAGGAGAGGCAGCCCCTCCTCGCAGCCTCTGCACAGCAGGCCAAATGTGGTCTATTTTCTGGTCCTGGATTGAAAGCCGTTTGAGCTTTTGGGGTACAGCCTTGTGTTGACAACTCTGGATACTCCTGAGCAAGCTACTCTGGATCCAAATAGACGTCGAGGCTGAGACGGGGTCTTTGGCACATCTCTACACCTCTCCCTTTGTGCTGACCCGTGTGGTTAGAAAATTAAGCAGATTCAGAGAAAGAGAAAAGGAGATGACCACGTGTTTTGACCTGATGAGCCATTGTGCTATAAGCCACGAGTGTTGTGACGGGTGCATGCAGGTGTTGTCCCTCTGAGCCCCAGGCTCAGCCCTGGGGACAGCACAGGGCTGTGTCGTGCACGCCTCGGGAGCCAGGGTTTCTTGTCGCTGCTTTTAGTTTAGCCCCTCCACTGCCATGCTCAAGCTGCCTGCGTGAGAAATGGTTTTTAATATGCCCATCCATTGTTCTGATGGGTCATTAAAACATGCAAAACAGCCTCTTCAGCTCCCGTGTTGCCGCTTGGAGAGTGGGTTCACAATGGTAGCAAGCAGCTTCTTTGTGGCAGTCCAGAAAAGGGCTTTGACCCCAGAATGGTGTGGGAGCGTCGGCGGGAGAGGTGGGAACACCGCAGGACTCGGCTGTCTCCTCCAGCTTCCCAATGCGGCCTTCTGCAAAGAAAGCAGCGCCTCGCTTGAAGTTTGGGCACGGGGTTCTCCGCGCTGTGAATTAGCTGCCCCCGGGATTTGGGATGGGCATCCCAGGCCATGAAGTTATCACTGGGCTGGCCCTGGTGCATAGCAAGAGTCTCATGCTCTCTCCCTCCGCAGTGGTTTGTTTTGCTTCTCAGCAAGCGTCCCATGGGATTGTGGCCGTTATTCGCTCCTCCCCAGGTCCAGCCAAGGGCACCGGTGAGAGCCCTTGCCAGCACGCGATCGCGGCAAATTGCACGTTGCCCATGCGATGAGGGCAGAGGACGGAGAAACAAAGGGCCTTTAAGTTGCATTAGTTATGTGAGGAGCATTGTTTCAGGCATTCGGGAATACGGCCTCTCCAGCTTTCAGTCGCCTCCCTCTAGCGCAGCATGCCATGAATTTCCCTTTGCAAACGGGGATTTTCTTCAAGCCACCTGTCATTCCCAACCGTGAGTTGCAGTAACGTCGTGGTAGCATTGAAGTGATGATTTTGCCTTGATGGCCCCAGAAATACTCAAGAGGTCAGAATTTTTGTGGGTGATATCTTCCAATAAAAGAGATCGCCCACAAGAGCTCTTGCCTCTCGCTGCAACTCATCCTATTTGTGAGCAGAGGGGTTCCCTGCAAAACCCTGTACTTGTATGATATTCACACCTGGCGCGTTTCTTTTCGTTTTCTTTACACTGGTCGTTTTAGAAACGGGGCAGCCCGGTGAAGCAGCTCCTCTGAAGCACCCCTTTCTTTTGCTTGGATGCTACATTGGTTAGTAAATGCCAGGACAGCTCTTTCAGACGCTCTTCCCTTTCACAAGTGGTGAAGTCCTGGGGGATTCTCCTGGCTGCTGAGATTTGTTAGTTGAGTAACACAAAGAGCGTAATGTGGTTTTATAACAACAGGCTGTAGAAAGGGAGCAATCTGGCTAAGTAAAGTTCCAGCCCCAGTGGATGTGAACAAATAAAAGAGCCCTTCAGAGTCGAGGTCGTAATAAAATTTGTCGTCTCGGCTTTCAGTTCATCCACTTCCTCCCTCGTGTACCTAAGAGGCATTCATTTGTGAGCAAGGTTGGAGGGCTGTTGTAGCCAGGATGGCTCAGAAAGTATTCAAGAAGCAAGGGATTTTTGGTAATATCTTTTATTGGATCAGCTCAGTAGTTCGGAGGCGCACAGTGCCCTCCCTCAAGTCACTTTGTTCCCAGAAGCTTGACCTAGCATCTTTCCCACCTATTCAGTACGTCCAATAAAACAGATTACTGAAAAACCCAGCTCTGCTTCCATTCATTTGCGAGGCGCTTAGCAGTGTCTAGCCGTGTATTCGGCTGCGTGTGGCTTGGTCACGTTTCAGACAAGCCAGGCCTAAACCTGACCTAGCGTCCTCCTCTGATGCTGTGGATTGGGTTACCCTCCCTGCTGACCGCTCCATTGCACCAATGCGGAGCACGTGTCAAGCCGACTGCTCGGCGGTCCAAAAGGACCGCTAGAGGATCTTGTGGCAGCGTGCGCCCGGCTTCTGTCTCCATCCCTGCAAAAAGGAGGCCTCTTGCTTTCCATTTCCAAACACTTGTTCGTCACTATTTCCCTTGAAGTGCCGGGTGCTCCTCTCGGGGCTTTAAATGCACTTTATTCATTCAAGTGCCACCTGGCTCTCAGATCATGGAGAAAAGCGCCTCTGAGTTCACGCCGCTCTCCAGTGCCTGCTTCCCTGCTGAAGGGCAGGTTTGCTGAAAGAGCCTCTACCTTCCCTGGGGTCAGAGCAAGAGTAACCAAAGACCCCACTGGAGACAGGGGCAGTTTGACCAAGTTTGCACCTGGCCAGGTGATGTAAAGCCTGGTTTGCTGTTTGGTCCATTTCTGCTCCGCCGCGAGAAGCTTCTTGCCGGGTGGGAATGGGCTGGGAGTATCTTCTGAAAAGTCTCCCTTTGTGCAGAAGTGGCTGTGATCCCACAGTGCCTCCGGGCTGGAGGCATGTGCTGCCACGGGAGGGCAGGAGCCAGCAGAGCTCAAAGCATCCAGCGCGCCCTCTCCGAGTGCTAGAAAAATGGAGGTGAATTGCTAATAGGGTTTGCACAGATCTCTCTGCTTTTTTGCCCCATGTATGTGGGCTCCAGCTGTATCCGTTAGCAGAGCTGGCCCATTATTTCTAGCCCTTTGACGTCTGCTTAAAGACACTTGTCTTCCGTATGAATCTTTGGCATATTTTTTAGGCCCTAGTCTGCAGACTGCGTCATCCCTGGGCAGGCTGGAGTGCCCCGCTGGTGCTTTACAATGCAAAGCAAGAGCTGCGTGGAGAGGTCTGGAGTGCAGGTAAAGCACCAGCACCCTCCTGTGGCACTTCGCTCATACAGCCACTTCCCCACAGCCTTCAGTGCTGCAGACGGGGTTGTGCATTTACCTGGCAAAGCACCACAGATTGGTTCTAGCTCTGCACCCTTCTCGGGACCCTTCCCTCCAGGCCTCCCACAACACCCTGTCAGCTCTCCTGAGTCCTGCTTCAGCATCCCCCCTGCCAGAGAGGCGCGTGTCCCTACCCACGGTGGGAAACCAAGACCTAGAGGGGTCAGAGAGCTTGTTTTTGTTCACAAAGCAAGTCACTGGCAGAGTTAGGAAGGGAACTCCAAAGTCCCAAAGTTCAGGGCTGTGCTTTCAACCCCAGCAGCTGCTTCTGCCCAGCCTGCATGTGCATGAATCTGTAACTTGTGCATAACTGCTGCTTAGCTTCTGTACCTGTTCTCCTGGCCCATCTCCAGAATGGGAGGAGCGGTAACGCCGGCCTCACAGGGGTGTCATTGTAAGTAGGAAAGTCCTGCTGTCGAAACGTGCACCAAGGTGCCTGTGGAACGGGAGCAGGCACGGCGGGGTTTCTTTGCAAGCGCGTCTGGAAGGAGGAAGCCATGCCTAACGTCCCCACAGTTTACATCCATCCCTGTGCTGCCCTGAGGTCCTGTGTGTTTGACTAATTGTCCTTTCCCTTCTTTGCCGTTCACAGAGTCCCCCCCGGACAGATCTGGGCAGAGGCGCAGCATGCCCAGTGGGGTCACGGAGAAAAACCCCACCATGGAGCCCACCGCGACCACGCCGTTCCGGGTCACGGTGAGTATCTCCTTCCAACTTCATTCCCTCTTGGGGTTTGGTCTGCATCCTCAGAGCAGAGGTGGGGTTGAGGGTGATGTGTGGTGGCCTATTTTTAAGTAAACGTGCAGTTACTAGCTACTGTGAGCAGCAAGTGGATGTCAGTGACTTCCCGGTAAGCTCACGGTGCTTCTTTTACGGTGCCTTGTTTGTGCGAGTTCACCTGTGAATGCTTTGAAGCACAGCATATGCATCAGGGCGTGCTTCAGTCTGGTGCTGCGCAGTACAGCCTGTTCTCCTTGCTCCTCGCTCTGAACACATGGAGGAGACAAGACTTCCTCCCACTGAGCATGAAACAGATCTCTACTGATTTCCTCCGCTGTCGTCTTTTAGGGCATCGCTGTGCATCGGTGCATCCTTGTGTACAGCAGCCTATGACCGAGGTGCGCAGACACCTGACGTGTTTCAGAAAGGCCCCGCTCAGGAGTAGGGGGCTAATGCTGCATCCCTGTCGCACCAAGGGACACGGAAGCCCAAAGAAGCAAAGAGATTTGCCAAAGGTCATACTGTGAGCTAGTGGCAGAGCCAAGCCTGAGCCCTGTGGTGGAATAGCCTTACCTAGAGGGAGGAGAGAAGCACAGCTGACAGCAAGTCCTCTACAAAAGCCAAAGGCAGACTTGGCCCAGACGAAGCACCCATGCTGGGACGAGCCTCTGTGTGGCTATAGCGTTAGAGTTATGTGCCGGATGCTGTCGGTAGGAGGCCTCTGCCTTGCCTCATGAGGTCTAAAATGAAAGGGCCAGATTAGACTTGTGTCTAGGTGCTAGGTCCCCACCTGCTCAAGTCCTTGAAAAAAGCATTAGTGGGCGAGAAGGGCTGGTCCCCTTCCTCCTTACTGCCTCATGTGAGTTATTTCTGAGGCTAAGATGTAAGTGCGTTGGACACTTTAGTTTCTCAGTGAGTCGGGCATGGAGGAACAGGATTGCTGAAGCTGCCTGACTGGTGGGAATCGGATTTGGCCCAAACCATCTTCATTCCTTCTTACATTACAATTTGCAAGAGGTCCCTGGCACTGTCCCCCTCCGTGGCCCTCGCTGGCTTAGCTCCTCTCTCTAACATCCTGTAGATTTTTTTTTTTTTTTGGTAGTCTTCTGACATAGATTTATCACTTCCCACCTGTGGGACTGGCTTCCATAAAGAATAAGATAAAATCCCGGTCATTAGTTAGTTCGGGCTACTGCTTTGTTGACAAATGGAGGTACAACAGTGGGAGCAAAATAAACTGTTTTTAAAGTAGGCAATAATGATCCAGGCAGAGACGCCAATTTTTTTAAATGCATCCTCACCCTGGACCTGCTTCTGCTTAATGAATAAGGAATGTGTGTGTGAAGGAAGGCAGGATTCATAATCAGCTGAGGGCAACCTCCAGTAGTAATAATTTATGAAATAAATATTTTCAGGTGCTTTCTGAAGAGGGCATATGCTTAAAGTGTAAACAGCCGGAGATACGGACTTGATCTCAGCGCTGACTGAGGCACGTTGAGGGGCACATTTTCAACAGGGATGTGGCTGTTGCATGCTGCATAACACTGTGCACAGGTATTTCTCTGTACAAGAGAGGCCGGTACTCTGAGAGCTGAGTACATACTTTCTCTGTCTGCCACATGGGCTATACAGGCCTGGGCACTCCATGGGGCACTTAGCTAGAGACAGAAAAGAAAACTTAATGGCATAAATTCATAGTTTCATAGTTTCTAGGGTCAGAAGGGACC